GTAGCCAGAGCTGTCACGATGTTAATGATAACCGAAGCTATGACCGCCGATGGTGTGCAAGATGGCTTGGTCTTTGGTGATGACGACGGCCCCTAGAGTGGCAGCCATGGGCTATGAGCACGATGACATAGTTTCTAGAGTGGATGGTTCTCCATTGTTTGGGGAGATAGCTATTAGCTCAACTTCAGCAATAGATAATAGTCCACAGGCTGGTGACTTTGCAAAGCAGCAGTTCCCAGAAATAATAGAAAATGGTCTGCCACTTGAACCAGATTCAGAAGTTGGTTTTTCATATTCTAGGGAGAGAAATATTTATAGGGATTTTAATGGGGCATGTGGCGAGGAATTCTGTGGATTTTCCTCTGATAATGGTATGGTTGGAAGGGACGATGCTGACCTTAAATCACCATCTGATTTCCAAAATTCTCCAGATCATCCATCAGATCATGAGGTTCATGTGCATCTAGATGATGTGGTAACAGAAACCATTCATTCAGAACCAATGGTTGTGGCTACTACCATTGCTGACACTCATTATGATGATAATGAAGATGATGGCAAATCTTTATCCACAAGTTGTGCAAAGTTGCAAGAATAATGGGTTTGTGAAGAAGACTTGACTGTTTTATTAATGGGTTTGTGAAGAAGACTTGAGAGGCGGAGAGAGTTGAAAAACCAGAATTTAATGTGATGTTGAACTGAGTCTTATATTTCTACAAACTGTGGATAACTGTTTCTATCAGCATGGACAAGGGTTTGACTTCAATTTATTTTTTATTTTTTATTTTTTTTAAAAGTAGAATTTTTCATATATATATATATATATTTCTTGGTGTTGTATGACTTTAATATATTTGGATGGATTGTATGCCTAAACTCATTGGACAGAATGTACATGGAAAGCAAAAATTACAAGCTTAATGAAGGGGATCGGGATTCTTTCCTTCCATTACATAATTATAACGAAAAAGTTTCATTGTATCAGTTGTGAAATAATTATGAGAATTTATTACTATTTTAATTTAAGAAAAAAATTAGGAAAGAATCATTATAAACATTTAGATAATAAAATAGAAAAATTTTCTAAAACTTTTGAGTTTACTATTTATAATAAGAATTTTTGACAATTATATTATTTGTGCAATTTAAAAACAAATCCCCATTTCACAACCTGAAATATTTTCTATAAGAATTTTAAGACATGGAAAATATTTTTTATTTGGGAAGAGAGGATCACAATCTGAAAAGCTGTGAGGTATTGTCTTTTTTTTTGGTTAAATGCATGTTATGGGCTTTTATTTTGCTAACAACGATACTAAAAAAATTCCCCAAAAAAAAAACAAAAAAAAAAAAAATATATATATATATTAGAAAAGTGAATTAATAAATTAGATTCATTGGTTCATATTTTATTAATTTTAAATTTACAACACACTCACTTTTAAAATAAAAATAAAATTAAAAATAAATTTCCATGATATATAACATTTTGGGTAAATTACAAACATACCATTTGAGATTTTCTTATAATACAAATTGCCGAATGTGATTTTAAAAATTACAAATATTCTATTGTCAGAATTTTTTATTTAACAGAATTAGTAGAAGGAAAATGTTTGGTAGCTCAAAATTTTGTGGCTCAAATGGCTCAAATCTGTCAAAACGAAGTCGTTTTACACTTAAAATTTGTCAAAATGACGTCGTTTTGAGCCATTTGAGCCACAAAATTTTGAGCTACTTAGCATTGTTGTTAATAGAAAAATTAAAATTTCTAATTGTTTTCCTATACACACAATAAAATTATCTGAATTATAAATTAAAATATATTTTTGACAGTATTAAAATTTATTAATTAATTTGATGATTTATTTATAAAATAATTATTTATTATGTGATTAGAAAATTAAAAAAACGACATATAATTTTTAAAATTATATAAAAAATTTATATTTTAAGTAACCTTGGTGAATATTTATAATTTACCCTAACATTTTTGATGTGCTGGCAAGCAGCTCAATAAAGATTTTGTAGCAATCACACCGAAGCAAAATCAATAATTGCGTCAGTGTTATATAGATGTACATGGATCATCACATTCTCAGTGGGTAGCTCTCATAATTGAAATGGCCATCTCTCTCTCTCTCTCTCTCTCTCTCTCGTGTCTGTATGTGCATGTGCACGTACATATATTGGGGACTCAATATGGAGTGAACACGTGTCTGGCATTTGAGTGTATGTATATTATTGTATTGTATTGTATAAGCAGTATCACTGTACTGTTACTGAGAGGACCACACCATGCCACACTTGCCTCCAATGGTTTTCTTGGCAGTTAGCATTATACAGAGATTGTGTACTTCTTAGTATTATTGCATCTGAGCATCTCTAACGGTTCAATATTTTTTTTATTAAATTTAAATAAAAAAATGATGTTTTCTTAATCTGATATGAATTGTTTCGACAAGTGCACTATAAATTACATCAAAAGGTAGGGACGACCAGCCGGTCGATCGGACAAAGTTTTTTTTTTTCTCCATGAGCAAGCTTTCATCACTACTTCATATGTTAGTCTTGGTTGTCGGTAAAATTTTCATAAATTTTTGCGTTAAAGCGGTCATCCGGTGGGATATCCGGTCGGTCGTCTAATGCGTCCAACTCAACGGCTATGCAAAGTGAATTGGTAAAAAAGGTAAGTCATCTTTAGTTTAGTGAAACGTTTGATATTTTTTCAATTTGACACTGTTTTGGTGCAACCGTTAGAGTACAAAAGACACATTTTTTTTCCATCAAATTTGAATTTAATGTTGGATTTGGTGAACGATTGGAGACAGTCTTAGAGCATGGATATGTAAAAATCAGTAGTGATACAGATGATTAAAATAGTAGTACTAATCTCAGTTTTAATGAGTTGGCAGTGCAAGAAAAAAAAAAACAAAGCCAAACTATCACATCAGTGGTATGGTCCACATGGTTTCACCTCATTAGTGGTGCATTAGTGGTCTAAAGCATTTTCCATATAAAATAGGGAATTAGAATTACAACAATGATTTAGACTACTAAAAAATACATCACCAATAGCACTAATGCATTGAGAATGGTAAAAAAAAAAAAAAAGAACAAGGCATAGAAGTGGACGGGGCCCACTGTCACATCATTAGTGCTCCATTTTTAGTGCTCCCAAGCATTTTTCTTAGAATTATTAGTATGTTTGGTTTGAGTTTTTTGGATTAAGTTTTTTGAAAACAGAGTTTTTTGATTTTCGTAATTTTTTTGTTTTTAGTGAATATTTTTAAAATTTTAAACATTTTTTAAACTTTTTTAGATGCACCTTACTTAGATGTATTTAAAAAGTAAAAAAATTATAAAAAAAATATTTTAACAAATTAATAAATACATAAAAATATAAAAAAATGCACTGAATTCTGGTATTTTTTTTAAAACATTTTTGTATTTAGCGAATTTTTAAAAAGTTTTTTTCACAAATTTTTTATTTTTTAAGTATATTTATGTTAGATATGTCTAAAAATTAAAAAAAAATTAATTAAAATATTAAAAAAATTTAATAAAAATAAAAAAATACGAAAAATAAGAAATTAAAATTTTTTTGAATAGTAGTTTTGAAAATCTCCCAAGTGAAAAGTGTTTTCTTTCATGTTTGCCTTTTTTGCCCCACGGCACATTTCACATCAATTGGATTCTTTTTTTATGGTTTTGTTTTTATACTATCTTTATTTAATTCTATTTAATTATGTAATGAAAAAAAATCTAAATTTTTTAGTAATATGATAAAAGCGGCAGTCTATAAACTGAATCCCAAAACCAACTCCCCTTATATCTTTTGGAAAGTTCGTGTTTTCCAAGTTATTGCTTAAATTAATGGGCAACTTTTTTTTTTTATTTTTCTATTTTTTTATAAATTTATAAATTTGAAATTTTGTCAAACTATTTGTTATAATTTTTACTTACGTTTTATGAGGTAAAAGCAATTTAAATATTTTAAACTGGGGAAGAGCACTTTTAGATTCTCTATTTCTAGATTAGTAAAAAAACATAAGGCAGAAACAAACTTGCAACTTGAATAAATTGTAACATAGTTTTGGCAAAAATTGGTGAGAAGTTCATTTTAAGAGGGTATGATATTAGGTCCAATGATTATTTTATTTTGATTGTAAGAACATGATTAATGAAATCATTTGGTGAGAAGAAAAAATTATTGTTTTACAGGATTTTTTTTTTTCTTTCCATTTTTATCCATTGTTGCTAGATCGTCACCGGTTGCTAACGCTAAAAGAGTGGCTGGAAAAATTGCTGAAAGTGGCCTCCAACAGCAGCTGGTGGTGGCAATTAGCGGTGGCTAGTGGCAATAATGATTTGAACATATAGGTAGATTGGGTAGGTAAATGGTTGATACATGGACCAAAAGGTAACATTGGACAAATATGTAGACAGATAGGTGCTATATGAACAGGTAGATGGAGCTGGACATATAAGTGGACAAATAGGTATCGTGGACAAATATGTAGAATAGTGGACAAATAGATAAAGGAAACAATATGATCTTTTAAATTGTTATTATTCTTATAACTTCAAAAGTTTGGTGCTATACCTCAAAATATTTCAAAATTAGATTTATGATTGCAATTCATTTTTTTTTTTTAAAGAAATAACAAATTAGTGGTACTTTTGAAAAATAATTATAGATTCAAGATAAATTTTACTCTTTAACTATTGAAGTTATAAATTTTTTTTTTAATTTTTATAAATCTATAATTACTTTAAAAAAATACCACTAATTTGTAAATTCTTCTTTTTCTTTTTTGGCCTTATTTAAATTATTTTAAATTTGCACATGCAACTACAAACGTACAAACAAACTTGCCAAATGAAAAAAACAGACCAGAATCGCCAATTATAAACAGCACCAAAGGTTGACGAGTATATGGCGAAGTATAAAGCAGGATTGTCATGAGTCATAATGACAAAGGAAGAAATAAAAAGAATTGGAGATAAAAACAGGGAATTTTATATTAACATTTTATGTTCACAGGTTGTTTCCTACTGCATTGACAAGGAACAAATAACAAGAAAAATTAAATAAATAAAAGAAAAACACAATGAACAAGATTCTTAGAGATATCAAATGCCCTTTGCTTTTACATGCCCATTTTCTGTGTCATGAGAAGCTGCAGGCAGCCCTGCAACAGCAGAATAGAGTAGGAGATACATACAAGTCACAACACACCATTTTTACTTTTCCTCATTCCCACTTTCTTCCCGACAAACCACCTGTCAACACACACAGCTCCCACAAGAGAGATTAGAGAAACCAATTTAGGCCTTGGCAGCATTGAGCCACTGATCCAAGAAATTGCATTAGCAAATAGAATGTAGGTTAATTATACTCAAACACTTTTAGGCAGCATTTGTTTTATGGGATTGGATTTCATATTCAATAGATTTAGAGTAATGCTAGAGACCCCAAATATTCTACCAAAAGTTTTACCAAATGTCTCACATGGGTCCCATGTGGGTCTCACACCATGTGAGACATTTGGTAAAACTTTTGGTAGAATTTTTGGGGCCTCTAGCATTTTTGATAGATTTATTACTCCATTGTTTAGTTAAAAAAATAAAAATCAGATTGATAGTCAAATACATATTATTTCTAGTCAAAGAATTCACGGACTATTTATTTTAGGACTAACAGAACCAATCTATTGCATTGTAATTCCCCTTATCCAATCTGCCCAAACAAATATCAGCAAAATGATTGAGGCACTAGTTATCTTAGGATTAACAATTTATCGCATTGCAATCTTTTCTTATCCAGTTTGTTCAAACAAACACTCTCTCATTATAATTTTACTTTAATCTTTTTATTTTTAATTGTGATAGTCAACATCTACATTTTAAGTTAAGTTACAATATTATTATTCCATCAATCTACTGTTAATAAAACTGACGAAATTTATTATGTCAGCTAAACTTAACATTTTTTTCGTCTCATCTGTGTCCCTATACTTTTTTCAAAATGTCATTTTAGATTTTCTACTTTCACTAAAATTTCATTTCGGTCCCTTAAATTTTAATTTTTGTCAACCTATAGATGAATAAAAGGGTTACATTCCAACTTGACTTAAAGGTGCCACATTTAAGAGTGCAGAGAACAAAGTAAGACAACTGTGAAAGTCCAAGTATAATTAATCCTAATGTGTATATATAATGGCTCACCTGTTGCTCCCGAAGCTGGTTTTCCTGACGCAGAAGACTGAAAGAAACCAAACTGCTTCTGTAATGCAGATTTTCCCAGCAAGTTATTCACTAGTTAGAATCAATACTAGTAGGCTTACATAAAGCTGATTGGAAGAAACAAACAAGAAAATCAGAGGAAAAAAAAAAAATTTCAAAGATTTTGACCTTAAATGGTGTTGCAGAGAAGGTGTGCTCTGTTGAAGCTCCATTTGGTGAAAGAGCTACATGTTTCTGTTCAAATATATAAAACCCATTAACGAAATAATAATGCTACATATTTAGAAATTTGTATCTATATACGACGGTCATTTTGAGTGTCGTCTATATTCAATTAACTTTAAATTTGTACTGTCCAACTTATTTTTGATATATAATTTGAGACACAAATTCACAGTACATAGCATTTTTCTTAATCAAACTATTGAGAGCATTCATAGAATGAGAAATTTGAGTCGCACAGTTACTCTAACTTCCCTTCCTAGGGTGGTAAATAAATAAGTTACTTGACAAACTGTTTGTTTTGTTATGTGAAAAAGTTCGTTTATAAGGTTACTCGATAAAGTTTGTTTAAATGCAGTAGAAAAAATATATACGTCAAACTTAAATATATTTTGAACTCTTTTTACTTGATTTGTCAAACTTAAATAAATTTTGAACTCTTTTTACTCGACTTGACTCGATTAATTTACACCCTATTCCCTTCTCCTATTCTCGTTCCACCAATTGACCAAAAAAAAAAAAAAAACAAAAAACTATGAACTTACCTTGGAAAAGCTCATTATAGGGGAGGTAGCAGTGTCATCAGGACAAGAAAATTGCTGTTTGCCTCTTTGTTGTTTTATTTTCTTTTCCTTCTTTGTCTTGTTTGGTTGCTTAGAAACTGAAGAACCATAACAAAAATACCCAGTTTCATCAAAGCAATCCTCTCCATCATCTTCCTGGAAATGTGGAGGCCCAGATGATGCATCCGACACCATCGACAAATCTTCATCTTCACCATTCTCCTCCACATTTGCTCCTAATTTGTATCTACAATCTTCACTACCATCTTTCTGGAATTGTTCTGCAGCAGAATACGAAGATTGATCTAAGTAGTTTGTCCAACCAGATTCACATCCACTACTGCATTCAGAAGTTGATATATTCATTTTTTAATTACACCCTCTCCCTATACAAATAATGAACTCCAAATTCCAAATGGGTTGTGTTTCTGTTTTTAAGTATAATAAGCTCAAATAAAAATGATCCAAAGAGAAGAGATAGCTAGCTGGAGAGAAGTGAATGAGAGTGATATGAACCCTTCTCTTGTTCTTCCTTCTCTATATAAAGAAGAAGAGAAAAGCTAGTGTGATGAAAAATACCAAAAGAATCACACTCAAATCCTAGACTATTTTTTGTCCTTTACTCTATGCTTGCAATTGCAAACTTATTTTTTTTTAATTTGACAGTTGGCTTGGTGTGTAGGAGAGAGAGAGAGAGAGAGATGAATAATTGGGTATTGGCAAGAGGTAGTGGTGACAATGGAGACTAGGGAAGGGGTTATAGTTTCATCCACATTTGTGCAATAGACAGCTGGATGACAACCATTGCACCATATCATGGGACGCTGTTTGCTGTCCTCATCTCAACAAAAAATTTGAGGCATTTCCGTAATTCTAGTGTTATTTCCTACACCAATTGCTGCCTCATTTTTATTAGGTGTGGCCCTCTCGCTTTCGTGTCAGGATTGTGTTTGTACTGTTTTATTTCGAATTTGGTAATAGAATTCACTCAATATTAACTTATTATATATGTTTAATTAATCGTATTATTTTTTGCTTCCTTCTGATCATACCAACTTCAACATGATAGGACATGATATAATTACCTGATCCTTTTTACCCGAAGACTTTGATTAAATTAGCAAAGAAATTACATAGTAGGGCATAGAAAAAAAAAGAAGAGATATTTACCAATAAATCTCATCTCATAAATAACTATTTCAATTAGTCTCAAATTTTTTTTATTAATCTGTTAAGTCTTATTAGTGGAGAGTTTATTTTCGTGTGGTCCTATTTCAATTTTAGTAACATTTTGGTAGACGACTATATCTGTTTATAATGTAATACTCAAATATGGTAGGTATTAATATGACACTTCAACGTAGTAGGTATAATGTGATACTCCAAAAAAATTAAAAATTCATTAGTGTACTTTTTCCAAATGTGACAGCGTGGCGAGTATAATGTGATACTCTAAAAAAATTAAAAAATTCTTAATGTACTTTTTTGAATGTGACAACGTGGCAGGTATGATGTGGTACTCCAAAAAAATTAAAAATTCTTTAGTGTACTTTTCTTAAAATGTAACATGTAACACTGTAACACTTTAACACTTCAAAAAAATAAAAACTCCTTAATTTACTTTTCCCAAATGTGACAACGTGGCGGGTATGATGTGACATTCTAAAAAAATAAAAATTTCTTAGTATACTTTTTCTAAATGTAACATGTGACACTTCAATGTGACAGGTATAATGTGACACTCCAAAAACACTAAAAATTATAATGTGATATTCTAAAAAAATTAAAAGTTCCTTAGTGTAATTTTCTCAAATATGACAACGTGGTAGATATAATGTGACACTCTAAAAAAACAAATAACTCCTTAGTGCATTTTTCTTAAATGTAACATGTGACATTCCAACGTGACGGGTATGATGTGATACTCTAAAAAAATTTAAAACTCGTTATTGTACTTTTTTCAAATGTAACACTTTAACGTGACAAGGATGATCTAATACTAAAAAATCCCTTAGTGTATTTTTTTTTTAAATGTGACACTTCAATGTAGTGGACAAATGTCATTACACATTCAAAATGATTAAATAAATCACAAAAAAATAAAATAAAAAATGGGACTATATAGATCATTGGTTCAAAATATGAGACTTATTGATCAATATTTCTAGAAAAAATAGAAATAAACGAAAAATTTGCGCATTTCATTTTATATATATTGAGAGGACATAATATCATTGGATGAGTTAGATTAGTATTTATATAACAATTAGAGTAAATACGTGCCATGTTAAATTTGTGTTAAGTGAGTTTGACACTTAACCAAATTTATTTATTTTTCATGTTATTGAGTTGGTTTACCTTGTTTTAGATCGTATTGATAACTAACCAATATAATCAATTAGTTTCGTTTCCTGTTCCATAGAGTTGACCAACCATCTTAGAGTTACACCCAATTTTTTTTTGTTTTTTATTTGTGTGTGCGCGCGCGTGTGGCGGGCTAGCCATTGGCATGAGAAAAATTATCCCATGAAAAATTGAAGACACTATTCCGACATGCAATGCAGAATTCAAATGGCACGTAGAAGGTCAAGTTTGCTAGGATAAAAGTAAATTGCATTTGGTATATGAAAACCAATATGAGATAACTAATCTTGAGAAGCCCGTTATTCATGGTTGTTAAAATCGCGATTCGGATCGTATGATCGTATGATCTTACTTTGTCAAAACGATCCAGATCATTGTAGGATCAATGTTACAACAGGATCGCAAGTAGGATCGTGTAAGATCGCATGGGATCGTTTAGGATCGTATGGGATCGTAGGTAGGATCGCAAGTAGGATTGTAGATTTTATAATTTTTTACCTTATTTTTAATATGTATCATTTTAATTTTAATTTTTATCTTTTTTTTAACAGAAAATGGGATCTTACGATCCTCGATCCTCGATCCGATCCTACGATCTGATCTACCAAACCCTCTCACCGATCCTACTTCGGATCCCGATTTTAACAACCTTGCCGTTATCCCATGTGAGTTATTTTTTCCTAGAGCTATGGACAATTTATCTCTGTGTTATTATTAGTTCTCACCTTTTTATTTTTGGTGTATGAACCTCTTTCATTTTCTGTTTTTCAATTTTGTCTCAATATAAAATTCTAGTTTCACCTTCTCTCTAACCTTACTAACCCTACCTTTAATCCTGACGTCATCTCTACCACCACTACCTCTGCCCGACACTTGCTCCTCGCCATCTCCACTCTAACAACTTTCCCCACAGTCACAAGTCCCTTCCCAGCCCAACTTTTCTACCTCCGTCCCTCCCTCAGTCTCCTACAACCACTCTTTAGCCAATGCTATCGAACTTCATTCCCTGACTTTACTGATTCTCTTTTACACACACACACACACACACACACACACACACACACACACATGCACACACATGCACACAGAGTCAATCATTTACCCTCACTTTTTTCCTATATAGTGGTCATCATGAAGGTAGAGGACAAAAGTGGTTGGGATCACAAGAGGTGGGCTGTCGTGAGGATAGGACAACAAGTGATGGAAGAAAGGGGTTGTTGGTAGGGATGAAGGGGTCGACAAAGGTTATAAGAGGAGGTGGAGGTAGGTCTCCGATAGGGAATGGGGTTGTCAATGGGGGCGAGGGGTTGTAGTGGGAAGGGATGTCGCCGGATGGAGCAATTGAAAGTGAAGGTAAGGCTAGGGTTAGGGTTTAGGGAATGAGGCTATGATTGAGGTCCTGTTTGGGGTCTTGGCTTTTTGGCTAAAATAGCCAAAAAGCTAAAACACTCCATCACATCACTCTCTATTTTTCTATACGTCTTTTTACAAAAAATCAAAAAATCAATTAAAATAGCTACTTACCAAACACCCTCTTAGAATTAGGTGGAAGTTCATTCTTAAAAGCGATCCTCGATCCGATCCTACGATCTGATCTACCAAACCCTCTCACCGATCCTACTTCGGATCCCGATTTTAACAACCTTGCCGTTATCCCATGTGAGTTATTTTTTCCTAGAGCTATGGACAATTTATCTCTGTGTTATTATTAGTTCTCACCTTTTTATTTTTGGTGTATGAACCTCTTTCATTTTCTGTTTTTCAATTTTGTCTCAATATAAAATTCTAGTTTCACCTTCTCTCTAACCTTACTAACCCTACCCTTAATCCTGACGTCATCTCTAGCACCACTACCTCTGCCCGACACTTGCTCCTCGCCATCTCCACTCTAACAACTTTCCCCACAGTCACAAGTCCCTTCCCAGCCCAACTTTTCTACCTCCGTCCCTCCCTCAGTCTCCTACAACCACTCTTTAGCCAATGCTATCGAACTTCATTCCCTGACTTTACTGATTCTCTTTTACACACACACACACACACACACACACACACACACACATGCACACACATGCACACAGAGTCAATCATTTACCCTCACTTTTTTCCTATATAGTGGTCATCATGAAGGTAGAGGACAAAAGTGGTTGGGATCACAAGAGGTGGGCTGTCGTGAGGATAGGACAACAAGTGATGGAAGAAAGGGGTTGTTGGTAGGGATGAAGGGGTCGACAAAGGTTATAAGGGGAGGTGGAGGTAGGTCTCCGATAGGGAATGGGGTTGTCAATGGGGGCGAGGGGTTGTAGTGGGAAGGGATGTCGCCGGATGGAGCAATTGAAAGTGAAGGTAAGGCTAGGGTTAGGGTTTAGGGAATGAGGCTATGATTGAGGTCCTGTTTGGGGTCTTGGCTTTTTGGCTGAAATAGCCAAAAAGCTAAAACACTCCATCACATCACTCTCTATTTTTCTATACGTCTTTTTACAAAAAATCAAAAAATCAATTAAAATAGCTACTTACCAAACACCCTCTTAGAATTAGGTGGAAGTTCATTCTTAAAAGAAATATGAAATTTGGATTGGAAGGGTCCAGAAAATGTAGGTGTCCAAAGAAATTTGGAGAGGGTAAATGATAAACCAACTGACATAGGTGGCACCTCAGTACACCTCACCACCAACTGCCCAAGAACATTGAGATGGTTAAGAGTTAGTTAGAATCTCTGTAAGTGGTAGGACATAGAGAATAGATAAATTGAGTTTGTTGTAACAACTTCATATCTGTATATATATATATATATATAATCAATGAGAATTGTTTTCAGTCTTTATACAAGGTATTAGAGCTTGAAAGCTCACACGAGCACTGATTCTTGATTGCTATGGCTTCCTCAGCAACCATGGCTTTTGCAATCGCCATAGCTTTTTCTTTTTTATCTTCTTCCACCATTTCCTCAAATTTGACCTTGCTTATCTCAAATTTATCTTCATTTGTGACTGTTAAATTTGATACTTCAATTTTTTGATTTGGAAGAGTCAATTTCGTAACATTTTATGCCCCACAAAGCTTCTGGGCTATGTAGTTGGATCTACAACTTATCCTCTGGGCAATATCAAGGATGCAAGAGGTTTTGATGCTTCTAATTTAGATCGAGTACAATAGGGAGTTATTGATGCACATTTGCTTAGTTGTTTCACATCATGTCTTCTCTGATCTACGCCATTGTTCTTCAATATTAGCATTGTTCTAAGGTATGAAATGCTTTAATCAAACGATTTACCATACTTTCACGGTTACACATACATCAGCTAAAGAATAAATTGAACAATGTGATCAAGAAGGTTGAATCTAT